TCAAATCCTCTTTCAGTAATGCTACTGTTTCATAGTCTCATTCTCCAAAGAAAGCTGGGGCTACCTCATCTTTCTCCTTTTTAAAAGCACAAATAGCAAAAATCCTTGGAATAATAGAACACAAGGAAGGAGCCACTGCTAATATGGCAGGTATGTCCAAAATTTTCAAATTTGGTTGGATAATAGACTCAGCTGCTAACCAACACATGACCCGCAACACTCAATTATTGGACAACCTGGTTGATGTTTCTGACCTTGACCTTAAGATGACTCACCCTAACGGAACAAAGGCTAGGATCAACAAAATTGGTGACTTCAAATTATCCAACAATGTTGTCCTCTTTGATGTTTTAGTCGTTCCATACTCCAATGTAAACTTGCTATTTGTTCATAAGCTTGCTAGGGATAACAAACTATTCATAGGATTTGATGAGTCAAAGTGTTGCGTCCAGGACTCTCTTTAAAAGAAAATTGTGGGGACTGGTAGCCAAGAAGGTGGCCTTTATTATTTTGATGAGAAATTTTAAATGTGAGTTCCCTTCTTACTGTGGTAAAGTTTCTTCTCTGGTTTCTTCTCAGTTGTGGCATCGATGTCTTGGTCATCCCTCTGACCAAGTTTTAAATGTGTTAAAAGATCACTTGAAAATTCCCAATGAGGATTATGGTCCCTGTGAGGTTTGCCATAAGGCAAAACAAACTAGGGAAAATTTTGACTTAAGCATTCATAAGTCCAAAGATCTAGGTGAACTTGTTCATCAAGATGTCTGGGGTCCCTATCATATTCAGAGTAGAGAGGGATATAAGTATTTTTTGACCATAGTTGATGACTTCACTCGTGCAGTTTGGGTGTTTTTGTTAAAAGGTAAACATGAGGTTGGTGAGAACATTATAACCTTTTGTAATCTCCTAAATACTCAATTTGGAAAGTTTATTAAAATTTACATAAGTGACAATGGTTCTGAGTTTACAAGTCAAAAATTAAGTGAGTTTTTTAAAATGAAAGGTATCGTTCATCAAACCTCTTGCGTTTATACTCCACAACAGAATGAGGTGGTAGAAAACATCGTCACTTACTGAATGTTGCTAGGGCTCTTATGTTTCAGGGAAGGGTCCTGTTGAATATGTGGAGTGAGTGTATTCTTACAACTACATATCTCATAAATAGAACTCTCTTCTATTTTAAATGGTAAGTGCCCCTATGAACTTGTATATGGCTTTCAACGTGCCCTCATACATCTTAAAAATTTTGGGTGTCTGTGTTTTGCTATTATACCTAACATCACAAATGAGTTTTCCCCTAAGCCTGAGAAATGTGTATTGTTAGGGTATGAAAATTTAAAAAAATGTACAAACTGTATAGTTTGGATTCTAAACGAGTTATTGTGTCTCGGGATGTTAAATTTTATGATAATGTCTTCCCTTTTAAGATGAAGGTTGACAGGTTGAATGAGTCTTATAATGGAGATTTTAATGATCTAAATTTCTTTGAATATATGTCAGGATCTTCTAATAAATTTGTTGTCACCACCCAATGATGAGAATGGAGGCCAGTCTAATTATGAGAATATTCAAAATACTTCCTATATCTCTAGTAATCGTGAAGTTCTAGGTAACCCATCCAGAGCTATCAATAGGGGCCCTTAGGCAACTCTATTAGTCAAAAGGTTAATTGGTAGATTGATATATTTATACTGGGTTTCAAAGGTTAATTGGTAGATTGATATTTTTATTAGCTACCAAACCAAATATTGCTTTTGTCGTTCATTGTTTAAGTCAATTCATGCATTCCCCTAGACAGTCGCATCTTAATCTTGCTCTTAGAATTTTGTGTTATCTGAAGATGTCTCCAGGGAAAGGAGTAAGTTTTGCCAAGTCAGAATTTTTTCCCTCACTGCCTTTGTAGACACTGATTGCGGTAAGTGTCTCTCATCTAGGTGCTATGTAAATGGGTTCTGTATTTTCCTTGGTAATTCTATGATATCTTGGAAAAGCAAGAAACAAAATATAGTTTCACGCTCCTCGGCCGAATCTGAGTACAGAGCTATGGCTAATGCTACTTGTGAAATAATATGGGTCCTTAAGATTCTATCAGACTTGAATGTTAAAAATTTGCTTCATGTAAATTTGTATTATGATAATAAATCTGCAATAGAAATAGCTAACATTCTTGTTTTTCATGAGCGTACGAAACATATTGATATTGATGTTCACCAAATTCGTGAAAATATTAGTAAAGGGTTGCTAAAACTGGTAAAAATAATATCTTCTGAACAACCTATTGATATGTTCACCTGTTGATTTTATAGATGCTTTTATGGAGCTTTCATGGTTCTTTTACTCTTCTATTGGTACTAGTCGGTAATTTTAAATTTCATCACTCTTACTATAGTTTGGTATTATTGATAAGAGTGAATTATTGTTGTAGCTATTGGACTTGTCAAGTTATTTAAAAACGACAACTTACTTGGAAAACCCTAGCTTTTTTTTACCTTGGATCAACCCCAGCTAATCTTAGTTAACCTAACTAGATTATGTTCTACATTATAGAGAGTGGTACTCAGTATTGTTTTCAAAGTAACCAACCTCCATGTAAGAATACGAAAACCATCATATCACAAACTGTCATCACATTTGTCCAAATCTTTTTATCTGAACCATATTTAGCAAAAATGTGAAAACTACTGACAGATCTTATTTTGAACACTTTTGCCCTCATTGTGTTTGACAAACTTAACAAATTAAGAACACTTTTGCCCAAATCCTTGGTCGTTATTTGATTTTGAAAAACTCGTCTAACATATGTGAACATTTTGATAAATTGTGAGCATATTTTTTCTCAAATCTTTTGCTCTCATTTGTATTTGACAAACTGAATTTTGAACCCTTCTTCCCAAGTTGTAGCAAAAAGTGTCCTATTTTTTTCTTGAAGAATGAGAGAATTCGGCCAAATTTCTCATCTTAAGAATGTTCCGTAAAAGTCTATCAAGTATGAATTGGGCAAAATAATTAGTATGATTTGGAGAAAGTGTTTGTTCACAGTTTTAATCGAGTGAATCCTACATGGAGTAGGATATGTGGAGGATAAGATGTATCCAAAGAGTAGAGTGAATGTTTATTTGAATCTCCCCAGATTGTAAGGTACAATTCAAGGTTAGGCAAAAGATTTTAGCAAAATTGTTCACAATTTGTCAGAGTAAGATTTGGGAGGAATTGTTGGCAATGTGTAAAAAGTGTTCAATTTTTTTCATATATAATTAATACAAAAGAGTTCAAAGGACAATACATCAAAAGCATCCACAACTTGGAGCAAAAGATCTGGGCAAAGGTGCAAGTAATTTGTCAAATACAATGTTGACGTAGTGGAATGTAGTCTAATGGGTTAACTTGATTTTGGGTGGGATAAATCAGAGTGAAAAAATGTTAAGGTTTTACAAGTTCAATGGTTGTTATGAAACAACTTGCAAGTGGTTGTTATAATGGTAATACACTTAATTTGACAACCGTTGATATTGGGTGGTTCTAATATATGTTGTAGGTGCCTATAGGTGTTGAGGTTACTTTTGATCTTTTGGGGGTTGTATACCATCACATAAACACTGAACATCATGTGCTAGCGGTAAGTACTTCAAACCAGTTTTCATGCGTATGACACAACACGTGAAAAATACAGTGTTGTTTTACATGTGAAATGTTCAAAACTGTTTTTCTCCACACATAAAACTGTCTTGAAAATTTCACATATGAAACATTGTATAAACACTGCATTTTCACACATAAAAAATGGTTCATATATTTGTATGATTTATTAGGTTTATATATGCTTATGTGTGCATGTATATATATATATATATATGACAACTCTTTGTTGGTGATTTTCAGCTGCAATCATTCAAAGCTGTATATATTAAGCAGGATTATGATACTGGAAAAGATGGCATAACAATGGTGACTTTCAAAATTACATTTGACCAGGTTGAAGGAATGGATGAAGTTTTGAAAACCAATTGCAACAGAAATCTTGTATTTTACAAGCATTGAACAACCAATATTATATGGGTAGGAATTATAAATAGTAGTCAAATAAACAATCTTAATATGTGAGTTTTATGTATATATATTTAATAGTCATTAGTCATGTACCCCATGGCGTTGCATCTATCTCTTCTTCCTTACCTTCGTCAATTGGTTCTTGTGCTTAATTGATGAACATTGGGTCATTGTGGTAATCCATGAATAAATGATCTTTCATATTACATCTTCTTATAAAGTTGTGGATCGCGAAACAAGCAATTTCAATGTTCTTTTGTATTCGAAAAGGATAAGGGGTCATTTGTTTCAAAATTAGGAATCTTGCATTCAATACACCAAAAGCACGCTTGATAACATTTCTGAGTTGTGCATGGGCATGATTGAATCTTTCTTCTTTGGTCAATGCATGTCGACGTCAAAAATCAGCTAGCCAATATCTTGTATTGGGATATGAAATGAAAAATCCACGAGTGTTGGCATATGCAGCATTACAAAAATAATATTTTTCAACATTTAACATGTAAGAAAAAGTTATTGTTCAGTAAAATGTATAAGAAATAAATTATATTTAATATTAAGTAAATATTACAAATACAAGGTGAAGGAAATGGAAAGCCAAAAGTTGAGTTCAATGCAACTTCTCTTAAAACTCTAGCATCATGTGTTATGTCCTCCATCCAGCCCAAACACAAGTGAATATCATATTAAAGCCCCAAATAGCTAAAACGTTTTGATAACATTCACCTCTTCTTCTGCCCTACAACGAGCTTGTTGATCGACAAACATAACTGCATGTATGAAAGTCTCATCTAATTCACCTATTTCCCCCTTTATTAAAAAAAAATATAAACTATAAGGAACTTTTTAACGACGTTTTGATTTGTAAGTTAGAACGTCAAACAACAGCTTTACTAATTTATTGTAACAAAATTATATATGACACATATAAAAGAGTCTATTAGAATATTTAAACATATCTAAGATGTTATAAAATCGATTTTATAATATAGTAAATAAATTCCTCAAAGATAAAACCGAATATGATCCTTCTAAATCATCAAAATTCAAATACGTGGTCTCTTGTTTCGAGGCAGATCCAAGAATGCAGCCTGATCCATAACCACTTTTAACGATCTTCGTAACTCTGGTAACCCTTGTTCTCTTGCTATCTGAACCCATAACACACATTTGATTCTTCCACCCAGTGTCCCTATCTCCGTTCGCACCAGTTTCCCACCTACCACCGCCAACGCCCGCCGTAGCTCCACCATAAGTTCCGGCCGATCCTGGCAGCACATGCAAGCTTTTATCATACTTGAATCTTCTCCCACGTACGTCACTTCCAGCTCGTCAATCTCACTTGGAATCATATAATATTCCTTGTTTCTACTTATGAAATAATCATCATCATCGTCACTTGTTGATTCCACTTCTGCTTCTGCCGCCATCTTCTTTAACTCCTTCACTCGCCGGACCACCTCCGCCAATAATGAAGCTTTATCTGTCTGTACTCCATCACAAAAACAAAAAACCATAAGTAATTAACTTATCTAAATTGTTGGAAACTTCAATAATTAATTAGTAGTAGTACTACCTTGATGGTGTTGGGGAGGAGGGTACGGAGGGTGGCAAGGTGGCCGTTGATTCTCTTCCGTCGTCTTCTTTCCGCTTCGCTGTGTCTATTGGAAGCTGCTGCGGCCCTGTCCTCCGCCACCGTGTTTGCTGACAGTTGTTGGGTTCCTTCTCCGACTAAATCTCTTATAATAGTGGAACAGTTATTACTGAACTGATCATAACCATTGATATAACTGGGTAGAAACTGCATCTGCATATATTGAATTGAATTGAATGGATGTTTGGAAAGAAAGAGTTAATGGAGAATGGTGTTTGAAATGAAGTGATATGGATGGATGAATATATGGAGGAGGGTGTGAAAATGTGGTCAATATGCATACGTCATGTGTCGGGCGACAAGCCTACACAAACACAGCAAAGGGCTTGACAGGTGGAAATTATGTTGTCCAACACATCAAATTAAACGTTTTTTTTTTAGGTTTTCTACCGTTTAAAGTGTGTTTTTTTTAATTGTTTCTAAATTTTGAAATTTTGTTTTGTTTTTTATTGATAAAAAAATCGGAGAAGTTAATTCATATTACCATTTCTTTCGTTTAAATTGGTCTCCTATCATTTCTTTTACAGATTGACCTAAATGTCAGTACATCTACGATATCATATTGCGAACCTAGTTAAAAGACAAAAAAAAATATCAAATTTAACCAGTTTACCGTCGTAATTGTGGACTTGACCGTCACAATTGCATATTTATGTTGAATTTTGGTTTTTAGCTATTGCGAATCTGGATATTGAAGAAGTAGTGACATAGGGTCAACATGAGAAAGAAACGGTTAAGAAGACAATTTAAATGAGAAAAATGGTTATTTAACTCAAAGATTCAAAAAATTGGTTTGACGTTTGAAAATGGAATTAACGTAATTGTTGTTTTCTAATTGATAAAGTGTTGGTGTTTTTGTAATAACGTTAAGTTTTGTGTTATTGAGACTTGTAAATGTTCTCAATCCTTAAATATTTTTATAGTCATGGTACATGTCGTAAAACTTGAGTTTGTTATTTGTTTTTAACCACAAGGGTGGTGTCTGATTGGTTTGAGTTTGGCTCTAAAGATCAAAAGTACCTGAAGGTCCCAAGTTCAAATCCAAGAAAAAATAAAAATCCCCTTGTGGCCACGGAGGTTCAAATGCGGTGACCCCGAGCTATCTGCAAAACAGATGGTCGCAGACATGATTGGACAGGACTGAACAGGACTAAACAGGACAGGACAAGAGGCTAATAAAACATTATTTTACATCTTGTCCAATAAATAAAGGCAATTAAAAGATTTTAAACTCTTATTATACAATAAACAATATATATATATATATATATATATATATATTAACCTGGATATCCAACCCGTTATGCTAGCCGATTAGTTCCAGGGCGACCACCTGCTTTGCAGATAGCCCGGAATCACCGCATTTGAACCTCCGTGTTCACAAGAGGATTTTTATTCCTCCTTGGATTTGAACATGAGACCTTATGGTACTTTTGAACTTTGAAGTCAAGTTCAAACCAATCAAGCACCACCCTTGTGGTTAACAATATATATTTAGTTTAATCTTTTATTTGATTGGATATAAATAATGAATAAATTTTTTAAAGAAGACATAGAGTGACATAAAAATTTTAATATTTATTTACTTAAAAATAATAATAATTATAGTGTAAGAAAGAGAGATGGGAATAGAGAGAATATTTTGAGAAAACAAAATACATTTATTAATAAAAACATACAATTTTATACATTCAGTTAACAAAAAAATCTAAAAAAAACCAACATTATTTTTAAAGGTTTAGTTTTTAAATTATTTTGATTTTTTATTTAAAAAAATAGTTCTTGAACTTAATCGTTCAAAATAAAAAATATTTAATAATTTTTTTATTTAAAAAATAGTTTAAAAACTAAAGTACTCAAAATAAAAAAGTTTGTTAGCTTTTTTATAAACTTTTTTCTTTAATTAATGTGAATAATAATTACAAGACAAATAGGGTTTTGTGTACTTTGTGCATTATTGGGTCACGTACATTCGTACACCTAATTTTTGTATTTATTTATCACCACCATTTAACATATTCTTTCATAACTTCACTAATCATAAAATTATATTAAAAGTAAACTATGTCGACCATAATTTAAATATTTCATAATAAATCTTCATCAATTTAATTTATTTATCATTTATCTATTAAAAAAATCGATGTAGAAAAATGCTATTTTTTAAAGTAGAAATACGTATTAGACCATCCGCTACAATTTTGAGAAGTATACAGGTAGTCGGTACATGAATAGCTTTCAAAAATTCTTTATTTTTATAGATTTTTTTGTAAGTAACGGCATGGACGATCGTAAAAGTTATATATTCATATAGATTTAACTATAGCTTTTTGTAGCAATTGTCGATCAAACATATTTGACTAAATAATCATACAAAGTTATCCAGATCATCTTTCTTTTCATGCCAAATTAAATCAAGCATGCATTTAATTAAAATAATGATAATGATACATGTAAATTTAAAGAATTGTATAAAAATAAAAAGAGTTTAAAAGTATATAAAAAAGGCAATGATTTTCCGGCGCAGTTGATTACGCCCTCACCAATTATTGCTGTTTTCTTCATAATTTCCCATTTTCATGTCCAAAAAGCTACTCCTATCTTTTTCTTCCCTACAATCCACTCACTATATGTATATGTATAATTATAAAGTATCTGATAAAAATTTTTAAAAATTATTTTTTATACGTAAACTAYTGTTTATTAATGCATATTACTTAAAACTCAAGATTACAAGTAGATTGTGCGTAAGTATAACTTATTACAGCTTCATATCTGAATTCGTGTAACTAACTGCAGATAAACATAATCAAATACA